CAGAGCCACGACCGAACCGCGCCGACGTCGCCCAGCAGAGAATGCCGACAGAGCAGCGCGCTGGCATCGCCAACAGCAAAGCGTCAGTAGCGGAGCCGTGGTAGTGAACGCCCAGCCACCAACAAATAGACCTTGACTTGTATACGGGCTCTGTTACCACACAAGGCTTGGCTATTGAAAGGTGCTGCGCCGCCACTCCACACTTCACCGTGAACCCGCGTGACGGTGACGCCCCTCACAGCGCCATAGAGCGCCGACGTCGTAGATCAGCAGAGCGCCGATATTGCAGCGTCGGTGTCGCAAGCAGTAGAGCGCCGGCATAGTAGCCCCGACGCCGTCCGTCAGCAGAGCGCCGACAGAATAGCTTCATCGTCACCCAACAGCAACGCGTCGACAGAATAGCACCGTTAGGAATTTATACACCGTTAATCGTATTGTGTTCGTTGGAAATAAGAATTAACACGTGTCAGAGGATAAGAATAATTAAATAAATTACTATTTGCAAAGATCCCACAATATAAATTTATTGTAACGGACCCTGGGCATGGCGAGTATACCCCTGCAGAAAACAGAAGCGTCGGGGCCTTCAGAGAAAAACGCTTCGTTATAGTGTCCTACAAAAGCTCTTCTGAAAGATCTTTTTGAGTAGCGAAAGCAGAAGCCATTCAATTTGTACCGCTCCATCCAAAAAATGGAGGATAAGCGAATAACGTTCAGAAAGGCCTTTTGGATGAGATTTTAGCTCTTGAAATTATCTACTGGGTAGTACTTATGTATGACCCCTCAGCCGTGCACCTGATCAGGAACTTGCACTTTTTGGCATTTGCTTGAAAAAAAATTCAGATTTTAACCAAATAAACTAAACAGAAAGGAAGTAAATTAACCAGATATTCAACTGACAGAAAAAACGTTTCGTCATAAATTTTCGACTACTTAACCTATTTTCATAGCAAAAACCATAGCATTGACCTTCATTTAAAACCAGGACAATTTAAGTGTGGACCAGGACACCAGGACAATTTGTCTAAATCAGGACAAATCCTGGAAAGCCAGGACGTCTGGCAGCCCTACGCTAGGAGTGCAACCTGATCCATTTAGTGAAAAACGTTTTGAAGATTTATTATATCCATCGGCACGATTTCTGTGAGATGCTACATAGGAAGCAACATGACTTGGTTGCTTCAACGTAGTAAGCATTAAACTTTTTAGGTGATAAATTTGACATATTTTTGCTGACTTACATGTATGCTAGCGCCTTCTTCCCCACCCTCTCCGCCTCCTTCTTCATCACCACCTTCTTCTTCTTCTTCTCCACAAGACTTTGCGGCTATTTGTGCGTATGACATGTAGAGCAAGTCCTCTTGCAAAGCTCCACTCCTTTCGGTCATGGCCCCTCTACAGAACGTGGTAACCAATTGCGTTAGAGGATCTGGCTTACCTTCGGACTCTTCTTCGTCTTTCTTCGATTTCTCCGATTCCTCAAACGTTTGTGTCAAATCTTCAATCATTACCTCTTGGCCTACATTTTCTTCCTGAAGCCATTGTTCGTAGTAAGATCGCGCAAAAATATTGCAAGCCCGATGTCTGTCAACGTAAACAAGTAAACGAATTAGCATTTGCTTCGAAATTGGAAAAAAAGAAAACAAGCATGCTTACATACGTTCCGTTAGTATGGTTAGTTTTCTAAGGAGTATTCAACTACATTTTATCTCAGTGAGTTTTTTTTACAAATGTATGAAATCAGTACATGTGTACATACATTTGTATGAAAAGATCATGCTTTGCCGAGATTGTACATAGAGACTTTTGTGGGAGAGTAGTTTCCAATGATTTTTCGATTATGGTTTGGGCAAAAAACCAACAGGTGGAAGTGTACCTGCTCATGCGATAGAGATGTATAGCGCGTAAGCTGGATATGACTGCCTGGCGTCGGGCCAATGTAATTTTCGAATTCCAACGTTTGCTTCTTTGCTTAGGACGTGATGCCTAGGAAGGAATTAAGGACACAATACACGGTATCAGCTAGTTAAAGCATTACAAAGTCTATGCACCATATAATTGGGATTAGTACGGAAAATTAATTAGTAACGAATTTACATAGAATACAATATTGAAAAAGACACGGAAAGTATGAACTACCAAACAAATGAAATGATAGTGGCATAAATATTTTACATCCTCCAAAGACATTAAAAGAACACACTACTATTTTCTTCTACGGGCATTGTGACTGTTAGTGTATTGAGCAAGCGAAAACTGTTCTAATTTTGTAAAAACCTGGGTAGAGAATGTAGAGACGTCTGGCGGAAACATGCAATAACGGCACGTTTCCTTTGTATAGATACAACACTCCTGTAGACGTTCTTGCTTTGTTGTTGGGGATGGTCAATCTGTAAATGTGGCGAGGTCCGAAATTTCAATAGCAATAATAGTTTGATGTTATGTGGATACCGTTTCGCGATAATGTAAAAAGTAATCAGAAATGTTGAAATTAAATCATAATAATTTAATCAATATTAAGAAAAGTTAAAAATAAAAAATTGCCGAAAAGGAAATACATTTTTATTTGATGTAGCCCTATTCAGATTTCCATTTGTCTAGGATAGAACTTATTAAAATTGCTAAACCAATATCCTTACCATATGCAATCCGAAAAGTACTTTGGCCATGGCTACTATTCGGTCGACAGTTTCCTGCGTTTTGTCTTTGTTCTTATCATTTTGATTTGAGGCCTTTTCAAGTGATTGTTCATCTGCAAGTTCCTCTCGTTTACCTAATTTTGAGTAGAGATAGTGTTGCCATGACATTTCATCTGAGGGGTCCAATTTGTCAGGCAACGTTAACTGATTTCTTGCAAATTCGATGACATCATACTCTTGCATTTTTTTTAAATAGCGATCTTTGCAATGTTGCACGAGTTCCTGCTCCCGACCAGCAAATAAATTTAAACCAACTGGAAGCAAACGCTTCAAACAAGCTACCATTAGACTGGCCTGAACCTCCTTATCTTTATCACGTTTCTTATCTCTGTTTTTCTTCTTCTTTTTAACTTTGCCTCCAGTTACCGGAGCTCCTTCAGTAATAGCAGATCGTCTTGTTGCTGTTGGCATAATAAGCGCCATGTTGTCGATTTCGTTGGTCGAAATGAAATTTTGCTCCTCCTTTAAAAAGTATTGACTTTTAGACCATATGTTGAATATTTCAGCAACATGGTTGTAGAGGTCCTCAGCTTCAGGTATGTTGTCTTTAAGCCAATGATTTCGCTGCAAGTCGACATATTTAATAAGAAGTGGGTAAAACGAATAAATATCACGGACAAGTAGTTGCCAATCTTCTTGCAACTGGGTTTCAACTTGGGAGGTGTCGTCCGTAGCTGATTTAATAAAGCCGCGCATACTCTCTTCTTTGTGAAACATGTTTTCTGTCCGTTTCTTTACACGTTCTGCTAGCGGAAGGAATGGATCCTTTAACAACTCTTCGGAGGTATTAATTATTATTTGCTGTGTATATGCAGCGATTCTTGTCATCCAGGGTGCATTATCATTCCCAATATTCTTCTTGATCATTTTCAAAACGTTACGTAAAAGTGAGTTCATATGGTCTGCAGTAACCATGGTAACATGATTACCACTAGTGGGGCTTACGTTATCTGGTCCCTGTGCCCACCAAAAGGGAAGGTAGGCACAAAGTAGGGGTAGGATAACATCTATTATATGCGGTGCATCGGTATATGTTTTTTCCGATTCAACAAAGAGGTCAACCTCTCCAAGAATAGCTTCTAAGTTGGGCATGCAACTTTCCATTCGCACCATTATATCTTGGGCTTCTAATGAATGATCTGCAATACGATTAAGTAGAGAATATTGATTATGCTTGTTGAGATGTGGTTCTAAGAAAGCTACAGGGAAGCAGGAGCTAAATGCACCTAAGCACGAGCCCAAAGCAGGTCTATGTCTCTCTATTTCGGTTTTAAGATATTTGCGATCATGTGTTAGTGTCCCATCAGTACCGAGGTGGTATAAAGCCGCTAATATTTTGTATGAAGCCACTTGTATCTCGTCCAAAAGAAGATCACTGCCATAGTCACAAGCGGCTAAATGATCAAACATGGCTGTTAACGCAGGCAGTACCACTTGGTTGACATAGCCTAACGAAGTTGACGTCTTAAGGTGGGTGCCCCGAAGATGACTATATTTGCCCTCTTGTAAGTTAAGAATAGTATTACCAAGATCATCAGCAGTTTGATTGAAAAATGTTAACATAGAAGTTCTTATGAACTCTGGGCAGTTTTTTACCAGAGTTTTAGCATCTATGCCCTTTACCAATACTTGAAGGCATCTGACAGTAATTCTTACATCCGGTCCAAAAGCACTGAGACGATTCCGCAGAAGCGATGCCAACTTGCAAAATATTGATGCAACCATTTCCTTTTCTTTTAAAGATGCTGCTCCTGTTATGTTAGTTGCTGTTGCCATTGCAACAAAATAGTTACGATGTGTGGAGAAATACTTTTCCATTAGAGGGAGTACTACTTTAGAAAAGAATTTAATATCCCGAGAAGCTGTTTTGAAGGAAGATCTTCTACTAAATGTCGTTGATGGCTTAAGTAGCTTCATATTGATTGTAGCTCGATCCAAGTATTGTATAAGCTTTTCGAGAAGTGAGTATGAGAAACGAAGTTCCACAGCTGCCTGAGTGGCTCCTCCTTCACCTTCAGTAACGCCTCCCTTAGAGGGCCTGTGTATTATGATAACAAACAAAGCATTGCGTCAAAATAAAATACGTTAAAGCGTTTTAAACTTTATACCCTACAAAAATTCGGACTCATTTTAGGGTCAAAAAAGTCTCAGAATTCTGAGTTGTAACCCTCATTATGAGCTCAAAAAATAGCATATTTGCCTTTTTAGAAGGGCACGCAAATATGAGTCTAAGTAAGGGGTCACATTAGGGTCTGAAACTTAATGCTTTCTGTGTCTTGAAAACAAATATTCTTTATAATCATGGCATAAAAAAGTAGGTAGTTTAACTCAGCATTATCTTGACATTAAATCATTTTTTGACAACATTAAAAATAATTAAAGCTCTAAAAATTATGAAAATATGTTTTTTGGTACATTTTATTCATACATACATACATTTATACGTTTACACAANGGTAGTTTAACTCAGCATTATCTTGACATTAAATCATTTTTTGACAACATGAAAAATAATTAAAGCTCTAAAAATTATGAAAATATGTTTTTTGGTACATTTTATTCATACATACATACATTTATACGTTTACACATNGGAGTACTACTTTAGAAAAGAATTTAATATCCCGAGAAGCTGTTTTGAAGGAAGATCTTCTACTAAATGTCGTTGATGGCTTAAGTAGCTTCATATTGATTGTAGCTCGATCCAAGTATTGTATAAGCTTTTCGAGAAGTGAGTATGAGAAACGAAGTTCCACAGCTGCCTGAGTGGCTCCTCCTTCACCTTCAGTAACGCCTCCCTTAGAGGGCCTGTGTATTATGATAACAAACAAAGCATTGCGTCAAAATAAAATACGTTAAAGCGTTTTAAACTTTATACCCTACAAAAATTCGGACTCATTTTAGGGTCAAAAAAGTCTCAGAATTCTGAGTTGTAACCCTCATTATGAGCTCAAAAAAGAGCATATTTATTTGCCTTTTTAGAAGGGCACGCAAATATGAGTCTAAGTAAGGGGTCACATTAGGGTCTGAAACTTAATGCTTTCTGTGTCTTGAAAACAAATATTCTTTATAATCATGGCATAAAAAAGTAGGTAGTTTAACTCAGCATTATCTTGACATTAAATCATTTTTTGACAACATTAAAAATAATTAAAGCTCTAAAAATTATGAAAATATGTTTTTTGGTACATTTTATTCATACATACATACATTTATACGTTTACACAAATTTAATACATAAGCCTCGATGATCACGAAGCAAAAACAATCCAAATAAGCCGCAGGAAAGGCGTAGAAAAGATTAGTTTTAGCGTCTATAACATCCAAGCGCGCAATTAAACATCTCGTTTTTATTGATGATCGACTTAACTTTAATACCCACCTCGAGTATGCTTCCAAAAAGGCTTTGAGTTGCAGATTCCTTTGCAGTTGGGTGCTCAGCTCACTCTTCTTTTGTGATGCTTCGATTTGAGCCGAAGCAATGGAGGTTAAATGCAACGCTTGGAAACTAACTGTGTATCGCTTAATTCCGCTGAGAGCTGTCCCCACAAATTCTAATGAAGCGTCTTGTGTAATTGCCTGACTGATCCCAGTAGCCATTCCGGCACAATAGTTGAAAATAATATATAGATAGTAGCCAGTCCAAGAACAACGAGAGTCTCACGCGATATATAATAGCTACCAAAAAAAGGCGTCGTTCTATGGAAATCTAGCAGAAACGATGGAAGGTTTCGCTTTCCACTGGCGTCATCCAAAAAAAAAAAATATTAAAAAAGATATATCACGAAAAAATTTGATGAAAGGTTTTGTAAGTAGCTTTTTCNGAAGTTCCACAGCTGCCTGAGTGGCTCCTCCTTCACCTTCAGTAACGCCTCCCTTAGAGGGCCTGTGTATTATGATAACAAACAAAGCATTGCGTCAAAATAAAATACGTTAAAGCGTTTTAAACTTTATACCCTACAAAAATTCGGACTCATTTTAGGGTCAAAAAAGTCTCAGAATTCTGAGTTGTAACCCTCATTATGAGCTCAAAAAAGAGCATATTTATTTGCCTTTTTAGAAGGGCACGCAAATATGAGTCTAAGTAAGGGGTCACATTAGGGTCTGAAACTTAATGCTTTCTGTGTCTTGAAAACAAATATTCTTTATAATCATGGCATAAAAAAGTAGGTAGTTTAACTCAGCATTATCTTGACATTAAATCATTTTTTGACAACATTAAAAATAATTAAAGCTCTAAAAATTATGAAAATATGTTTTTTGGTACATTTTATTCATACATACATACATTTATACGTTTACACAAATTTAATACATAAGCCTCGATGATCACGAAGCAAAAACAATCCAAATAAGCCGCAGGAAAGGCGTAGAAAAGATTAGTTTTAGCGTCTATAACATCCAAGCGCGCAATTAAACATCTCGTTTTTATTGATGATCGACTTAACTTTAATACCCACCTCGAGTATGCTTCCAAAAAGGCTTTGAGTTGCAGATTCCTTTGCAGTTGGGTGCTCAGCTCACTCTTCTTTTGTGGTGCTTCGATTTGAGCCGAAGCAATGGAGGTTAAATGCAACGCTTGGAAACTAACTGTGTATCGCTTAATTCCGCTGAGAGCTGTCCCCACAAATTCTAATGAAGCGTCTTGTGTAATTGCCTGACTGATCCCAGTAGCCATTCCGGCACAATAGTTGAAAATAATATATAGATAGTAGCCAGTCCAAGAACAACGAGAGTCTCACGCGATATATAATAGCTACCAAAAAAAGGCGTCGTTCTATGGAAATCTAGCAGAAACGATGGAAGGTTTCGCTTTCCACTGGCGTCATCCAAAAAAAAAAAATATTAAAAAAGATATATCACGAAAAAATTTGATGAAAGGTTTTGTAAGTAGCTTTTTTCTAAAATTTTACGCTCCCACCCACAGGGATGGTTTTTGAAAGCAGGAGAAAAGAGGAAGGATTCAATCACACTTCCCAAAATGGTAGCTAAATTCGACAAAAAGGTTGGAATAATATTGATTTAATTATTTAATTTAAACAAGCTTATTTACATCGAATATAACCTTTTACTGTTATTAAAAATAAATATTTCTATGTATATACCAAAGTTGCGTGCGTAAGATAACGCATAACTCGAGAATGGATGGTCCACTTTTGTTTGTGAAAAATTATGNTTGTTTGTGGAAAAATTATGGAATTTTGATTAAAAAAAAAACGACGAATAAAACACTTGGATCTTACGTTTCTTTCGCGGTTTTGACTCGATTGCTTCGAATATGGTAATTCGAACTCTTTGATGTTGCACTTTTAGTGTTCTGGGGAGATTATGCCGCCGTCAGAATATTAAACATTGGCTTTCATAGTCGCGATTGGCGATTCGTACTGAGCGAACTCAGGAAGAATAAAAAGGACACGCAGCTACTGAACGAATGAGACAGGGAACGTGATCTATATAGTCAAATGAGAAGTGCCGTAAGTTTGAAATTACATCGCGCCATTGACTAAACCGTACTGACGTGTGTTACGATTGGCCCCATGGATGTGGTTTGCCAATATCATGATGTAATAATACAAGGTGTTATCAGTTGGCAACTTCTCGCTCTAATTCCGCCATATTGACTGCCTTAGTTGAAACAGTGGTAATTCTTAAACAATTCTTTGCCTAATAATATAGTTGAATTTTTTTTATTTTTTCTCAGTATACACATTTTGTTTTCTCAAAAAGGTATTATATCTTATTTTATTTCATTTCATTGCGAATATACTATAAAAAAGCAAATTTTGTTTAGAAGAAAATATGAAATTTTATATTTTTCCCCCAAATGGGGATTCATTTCTTCCTGTTTTTCTTCTTATTCTACTGAGCTAAGGCAGTGTCAAATCGACCTATCACAACTGATACCACCTTGTATTATTGCATCATGTGCCAATATTATACTTTACAGCGACTGTCAAGATCAATAGGTATCCACGAATGTCGATAAATACAACCACATATTCGGCATTTAAGCAAATTTCGTCTCTTTAGCCTACATTGAATTTCTGTAGCCCAACGAATCTTAACCATTTTGTCTTTTTGTCGCCAGCGAATGCAGAACAAACTTTTCTTAACATTCAAAAAGTAAATATTTCACTACTAAAAATTTAAAAAATATTCCTAGAACTTGCAAAGAAGTTTGGAAAAGAAATATCACTGTTTTTGTTTTTAGGAGTAGGGTGGGAGGGTCCTTGATAAAATTAGAGGGAGAGAAAGTTTTTCTTACAAAACCTTTCATTATTGAATCATGAGTGAAACTACCTTTTTTGTACCACGTTTATAATTCTGATTATTAATAAAACTTTTACTTCTAGGTGAACTTTGTTACTTTTCGTCAACTCATAGTTTATGACACCAAAAGAGTCCAAAACGAGTCAGTCTGGTTGACTGGTCTCAGAATCATATGTATGACGAAAGAAAGACTAATTTTATACTCATAAATTCTGAGCACTCAGAATGTTTTAAGAGTAATAACCAGGGAACGGATTTTATGGAAAATGCCTTTTTTCTGCTAAAAAGATAGAAGACATTCGATTAAAAATGTCCACGATTTATCTTTGCCTGATTCCATATATGTGACACGTAAAGTTAAAAGGGACCTACGCTCAGAAAAAAAGATTTCGGGAAAAATGACTTTGAAGTTTACCAAGTTGATTTTGATGCTTCTAACTTTTTAATGGATTGAAACTCGTTACTTGGGGGTTTTCGGGGTCGCTGATTACGAAACCGATGTTAGNGCTCAGAAAAAAAGATTTCGAGAAAAATGACTTTGAAGTTTACCAAGTTGATTTTGATGCTTCTCAACTTTTTAATGGATTGAAACTCGTTACTTGGGGGTTTTCGGGGTCGCTGATTACGAATCCGATGTTCGTTTTTAAAAATTCAAAATGGCGGAAAAAATTTTCAAATTGGTTCGGATTCATGTGAAACTCAAAAATGTCGTTGACACCGAATTTTGAAAAACTAACATCGGATTCGTAATCAGCGACCCCGAAAACCCCCGAGTAACGAGTTTCAAGCGAATTTAATTAATTTCAGAATAGTTTGTCAGATTTGATTTTTTTGTACTTTTTTTTTGTGAAAGTACCTAACTTTGAAGTGAAATTGTGAAAAAACTAATGCAGCTAGAAAGCTGCGGTTTTTGCATTGGAAAGAGCGGCGGACTCGATAAAAAAGTGAAAACCGATTTTTTCTGACCGTAGATCCCTTTTAACTTTACGTGTCACNTCGATAAAAAAGTGAAAACCGATTTTTTCTGACCGTAGATCCCTTTTAACATTTACACATTTGATGTTGCCTTTTTTGCCTTTTTTAAGACATTTGCCTTTTTTTTGCCTTTTGTACTTTAATTGTAAAGGGCAA